GTCTATGATTTTTATTCTGAGAAAAGAAGCCATCTCCTCTTGACTCTTTTTCCACTAAAATATCAGGCACCCTATTTTTACATACATAATGTTTTAAATTTTTGTTTTGAATTGTGGAGATTTACAGTATCGTACACTGGACACAAAAACAGATGGAACTGCAACTCTGAAATTTAACTTTTCCTGCCTGTTCATCAGACCTTCAAGAAAGGTTCTCAGTTCTCTCAATCCTGTAGAGAATAGCAACAGAAGAATACAAAAAGTGAACTCAATTACCCTAACCTACCACTTATCACCACTAAACCGTTTTAGTTTTGATCCCCCCAGGCTCCAAAAGGGAAAATAAAGGAAATATGGGAGGAAGAAAACAAACAAACAAAAAAAGCATTAGTAATAAAGAAGAGCCACAAAACTAATTCAATATGACTATCCAAAAATACCAGATGCTAGAAATCTGCGACATTCCTGATGTGGAATCTGTCACCTCCCTACTCCCCAGTCTCCATGTTACCTACCAACAGGAGAAGCCAGGACGCAGGTTTCTCAATTTTGCTTATTTGAAAAATACACATACAAGAACATTCATCCAACTGCGATCTAATTTAAATTTTCCCACACCTTTTTTTGGTTTAATGAATCTCTGGGGCTGTTATTCTGTCACTTATTATTATACAACTCACTTTGAGTAAATATTCTGTGGTATTACTAAGCTAACAGTCATATATGTTAAAAATTTGGGGCTCTACAATAAATCGAAATCGAGTAGTTTTCAGAGGCTCGAGTGAGTTATGAGCTTAGTGTAGGCCCAACTTCTAAGCTCCAGAAACATGTCCCTGTATGTTCCAACTCAAATCCCTGTCCCCTAATAAATTCGGACACCCGCATAATTTGAAACACTCCAACATCTTCCCCTCCCATTTTTTCCAATCTTCGAAAGAAAACCGAGCCCCAAGAAACACACGGGGCCAGACGCCCCCAAGCACTACAAGGGCTCAAGTTTTTAGGTCCACCCTCCCCCCCCCGCACAGGCCACAGGTGGCGCCAGCCCCCCGCC